ATCCCCCTCATCCCATCCCTCCCTGCCCTTGTCCCAAGCCCCTCCTCAGCTTTCCTGGAGCCCCTTCAGGCACTGGAAGGTGCTCTCAGGTCTCCCTGGAGCCTTCTCAGACCATCTTTGTGGCCTTCCCTGGACTTGCCCCAACATCTCCATCTCCTTCTTATATTTCTCAAGACCTTTCTAAACCGGCCTGGACCGACCCCTGATGAGGGACCGACCCCAGAGCAGCCTGAGCTCTTTTCCTGCTTCCTGGGGAAGGGATATGAGGGGGTGGTTTTGGGGGGAGGAAAGGGGGGAAAGGGGCAGAATATGAGGGGAAAGGGGCAGAAAGGGGGGGAAAGGGAGAGAACAGGGGGGAAAAGGGGCAGAATATGAGGGAAAAGGGACACAACAGGGGAAAAAGGGGCAGAACACGAGGGGAAAAAGGGGGAAAAGGGGAAGAATATGAGAGAAAAGGGGCAGAATATGAGGGAAAAGGGACACAACAGGGGAAAAAGGGGCAGAACACGAGGGGAAAAAGGGGGAAAAGGGGAAGAATATGAGAGAAAAGGGGCAGAATATGAGGGAAAAGGGACACAACAGGGGAAAAAGGGGCAGAACACGAGGGGAAAAAGGGGGAAAAGGGGAAGAATATGAGAGAAAAGGGGCAGAATATGAGGGGAAAAGGGGCACAACAGGGGGGAAAAGCGGCAGAATATGAGGAAAAAGGGGGGAAAAGAGGAAGAATATGAGGGGGAAAGGGGCAGAACAGGAGAAAAGGGGCAGAAAGGAGGGAAAAGGGGCAGAACGGGGGGGAAAGGAAGAATATGAGGGAAAGGGGCAGAATATGAGGTGAAAAGGGGCAGAAAGGGGGGAAATGGGCAGAACGGGGGGTGAAAGGGAAAGAATATGAGGGAAAAGGGGCAAAAAGGGGGGGAAAGGGAAGAATATGAGGGGCAAAGGGGAAGAATATGGGGGGAAAGAACGGGGGGGGAAAGGACAGAATATGAAGGGAAAAGAGGGCAGAACAGGGGGGAAAAGGGGCAGAACGGGGGGGGAAAGGGGCAGAAAGGGGAGAAAAGGGGAAGAATATGAGGAGAAAAGAGCAGAAGGGGGAGGGGGGGCAGAATATGAGGGAAAAGGGGCAGAATATGGGGGGGAAAAAGGGGCAGAATATGAGGGGAAAGGGGCAAAAAGGGGGGAAAAGGGGCAGAATATGAGGGGAAAAGGGGCAGAAAGGGGGGAAAAGGGCAGAATATGAGAGAAAAGGGGCAGAAAAGGGGGGATTTCCCAAGGGGTTTGGATGGGTTGGAGCCTGGAGGAGAAAGTGGGAGCATGAAGAAGGTTAAAGCCTGGAGGAAAGGGTTAGAGGGTTGGAGGCTGGAGGAGAAGGTTGGGGTGGGGGAAAAAGAAACCTAGAGGGGGTTCCCCAAGGGGTTTGGGGGGTTGGAGCCTGGAGGAGGAGGTTGGAGCCCGAAGGAGAGGGTTGGAGGCTGGAGGATAAGGTTGGGATGGGGGGAAAAGACACCAAGAAGGGGCTCCCCAAGGGGTTTGGGGGGTTGGAGCCTGGAGGAGGAGGTTGGGATGAGGGGGAAAAAGACACCAAGAAGGGGTTCCCCAAGGGGTTTGGGTTGGAGGCTGGAGGAGAGGGTTGGGGTGGGGGGAAAACGACACCAAGAAGGGGTTCCCCAAGGGGTTTGGGTCGGAGCCTGGAGGAGAAGGTTGGAGGCTGGAGGAGAGGGTTGGGATGGGGGGGAAAAAGACACCAGGAAGGGGTTCCCTGAGGGGTTTGGATGGGTTGGAGCCTGGAGGAGAAGGTTAAAGCCTGGAGGAAAGGGTTAGAGGGTTGGAGGCTGGAGGAGAATGTTGGGATGGGGGGGAAAAACACACCAAGAAGGGGTTCCCCAAGGGGTTTGGGTTGGAGGCGGAGGGAGAAGGTTGGAGGCTGGAGGAGGAGGTTGGGGTGGGGGGGAAAAGACACCAAGAAGGGGTTCCCCAAGGGGTTTGGGTTGGAGGCGGAGGGAGAAGGTTGGAGGCTGGAGGAGGAGGTTGGGGTGGGGGGGAAAAGACACCAAGAAGGGGTTCCCCAAGGGGTTTGGGTTGGAGGCGGAGGGAGAAGGTTGGAGGCTGGAGGAGGAGGTTGGGGTGGGGGGGAAAAGACACCAAGAAGGGGTTCCCCAAGGGGTTTGGGTTGGAGGCGGAGGGAGAAGGTTGGAGGCTGGAGGAGGAGGTTGGGGTGGGGGGGAAAAGACACCAAGAAGGGGTTCCCCAAGGGGTTTGGGTTGGAGGCGGAGGGAGAAGGTTGGAGGCTGGAGGAGGAGGTTGGGGTGGGGGGGAAAAGACACCAAGAAGGGGTTCCCCAAGGGGTTTGGGTTGGAGGCGGAGGGAGAAGGTTGGAGGCTGGAGGAGGAGGTTGGGGTGGGGGGGAAAAGACACCAAGAAGGGGTTCCCCAAGGGGTTTGGGTTGGAGGCGGAGGGAGAAGGTTGGAGGCTGGAGGAGGAGGTTGGGGTGGGGGGGAAAAGACACCAAGAAGGGGTTCCCCAAGGGGTTTGGGTTGGAGGCGGAGGGAGAAGGTTGGAGGCTGGAGGAGGAGGTTGGGGTGGGGGGGAAAAGACACCAAGAAGGGGTTCCCCAAGGGGTTTGGGTTGGAGGCGGAGGGAGAAGGTTGGAGGCTGGAGGAGGAGGTTGGGGTGGGGGGGAAAAGACACCAAGAAGGGGTTCCCCAAGGGGTTTGGGTTGGAGGCGGAGGGAGAAGGTTGGAGGCTGGAGGAGGAGGTTGGGGTGGGGGGGAAAAGACACCAAGAAGGGGTTCCCCAAGGGGTTTGGGTTGGAGGCGGAGGGAGAAGGTTGGAGGCTGGAGGAGGAGGTTGGGGTGGGGGGGAAAAGACACCAAGAAGGGGTTCCCCAAGGGGTTTGGGTTGGAGGCGGAGGGAGAAGGTTGGAGGCTGGAGGAGGAGGTTGGGGTGGGGGGGAAAAGACACCAAGAAGGGGTTCCCCAAGGGGTTTGGGTTGGAGGCGGAGGGAGAAGGTTGGAGGCTGGAGGAGGAGGTTGGGGTGGGGGGGAAAAGACACCAAGAAGGGGTTCCCCAAGGGGTTTGGGTTGGAGGCGGAGGGAGAAGGTTGGAGGCTGGAGGAGGAGGTTGGGGTGGGGGGGAAAAGACACCAAGAAGGGGTTCCCCAAGGGGTTTGGGTTGGAGGCGGAGGGAGAAGGTTGGAGGCTGGAGGAGGAGGTTGGGGTGGGGGGGAAAAGACACCAAGAAGGGGTTCCCCAAGGGGTTTGGGTTGGAGGCGGAGGGAGAAGGTTGGAGGCTGGAGGAGGAGGTTGGGGTGGGGGGGAAAAGACACCAAGAAGGGGTTCCCCAAGGGGTTTGGGTTGGAGGCGGAGGGAGAAGGTTGGAGGCTGGAGGAGGAGGTTGGGGTGGGGGGGAAAAGACACCAAGAAGGGGTTCCCCAAGGGGTTTGGGTTGGAGGCGGAGGGAGAAGGTTGGAGGCTGGAGGAGGAGGTTGGGGTGGGGGGGAAAAGACACCAAGAAGGGGTTCCCCAAGGGGTTTGGGTTGGAGGCGGAGGGAGAAGGTTGGAGGCTGGAGGAGGAGGTTGGGGTGGGGGGGAAAAGACACCAAGAAGGGGTTCCCCAAGGGGTTTGGGTTGGAGGCGGAGGGAGAAGGTTGGAGGCTGGAGGAGGAGGTTGGGGTGGGGGGGAAAAGACACCAAGAAGGGGTTCCCCAAGGGGTTTGGGTTGGAGGCGGAGGGAGAAGGTTGGAGGCTGGAGGAGGAGGTTGGGGTGGGGGGGAAAAGACACCAAGAAGGGGTTCCCCAAGGGGTTTGGGGGTGGGGAGGCTGAGGGAGAGAGTTGGAACATGAAGGAAAAGGTTAAAGCCTGAAGGAGAGGGTGGGGGGGTTGTTTTTTTCTGGGGAGGGGAGATGGAGGTTGGGTGAGAAATAGTTGGCATGCTTGGTGGGAGAAGGGGCACCATGTCAGGCTGGGTTTGTTCTGCTACGTTGGGCTCGCCTGCTTAAAACTACAAAGCTCTGAGGAGGGGAGAGGGGGTGCGAGGAGCAAAAAGCAGCTGTTGGGATCGTGGAGCCCCCTGGCTGGGCTTGCCCAGGGCTCCTGGGGTTGTTTAGGGTCAAGGAAAAAGCGGGATGTGGGGTTGGGATGCTCCGTGGGGTCGGGACGCTCAGTGGTGACTGTGGCTAAGCAAGCCCGTTCCCTCTGTGTCTTGTCTTTTTGGCAGAGCTGCTCCTGGCTGGCAAGCTCCGGGAATATGGGGTGATCGTCCCCTTCAGCACCGACTGTCGGGGCCGGTTCCTCTCGCACGTCGTGTCCGGCCGGGCTGTGCTGGGTTTCAGGGAGGCCACTTGTCCCCCAGCCCCTCGCCCGTCCCGTCGCCGCGTCCCCCGCAGCCCCCCGGATGGGTCCCCTCAGAGCCACTGGCTCTACTTCAACGTGACCGTTTTTGGGAAGGAGCTTGCCTCTTCACCGGCGGCATCTCCGGCATGCCGGGCGCTGCCGTGGCCATCAGCAACTGCGACGGGCTGGTGAGCTCAGGGGGGCCTGCTGGCTCCTTGTTTTGGGATGGTTTGTTCTGGAGAGGTGGCTGGTGGTGGCTTCAAACCGGTGGGTTGTTCCCAGGGAGGTTGGTGGAGTCACCACCGTTGCCGGGTGTGGTTTTAAGGGTCGCTTGGATGTGGTGGTGGAGGTGGTAGTGGTGGATGTGGTGGTGGACGTGGTTTAGGGGGGGACTTTGGTAGAGCAGGGCTGATGGTTGATCCCAAAAGGGGCTTTTTCACCCATCTCCCCTGTACCCACCCTGCTGCTTCAGCATCCTCACCCACCCATCTTTTTACCTCGGGATCGCTTCGGGAAGTTTGAATCTCTTCGTAGGGAGCTCAAGCATCTCCCAAAAACCCTGTCTGTGTGCAGCCTCACCTCTGCCAAGCGTCTTTCAGGGGGAGGACCTCTTTTTTCCCCCCCGGTAGCTGACGTGCTCAGAGCCTCTTGGCTCACAGAGCACAGCTCAGCTGGGGAACTCGCTGCCCCAGCACTTTCCTTAATTGAACGGCTCCGTTACCTCCTCATCCCCAGCTCCTGGGCTGCCCATGGCTCTCCAACCTTTGATATCCCTCTTATTTATGTTTGGGTTTGGATACTTTTGGCCTGTTGCCCTTCAGATTTCCTTCCAGCCAATTTAATTCTTGCTTTAGGTGCCAGCCTTTGCTTTTTTTTCCCCTCCCGCTACCATTTAAGTTACTCCTGGGTTGGAAGAGACATCTTATTTTGCCTTTCTTTTTTAAAAATGTATCTCTATTTCTTTTCTGGTTGGTTTATTCTGGGAGTTCCTTGAGCCACTTTTGGTTGCTGGCACAAACAGTTTGGCATTCCTTTCTTTTTATACAGCTCCTGGTGTTGCTGCATGAACAGAAATGACAGAGCAGCCCAGCTAGAAATACATATTTTGCCTACGTATAGTGGTTTATATTTTATTTTGTTGCCAGCAATTTTAGCACGTGCTCCACACCTTTTTGAAGCACCTTTTTTTTTTTTTTTTTTTGATGGGGATGGAGCTGGGAATTTGCAGACATTTCTGGGATTGTGCTGGGGCTGGAAAGCTCTGGAGGTTATTTCCTATCACTAATAGTGCTGCCCCTGGAATGAAAACTTGGGGTTTTGACGCACTGGGGTTGCAGTGTGGGTGGAATTCCTGTTGGCACAGGAAGTGAAGGGATGCTGGAAGCAGGCAGCAGCTGAATCCATGTCCAGTGAGGATGGTTTTAGGGTTTTTTCTCTTCCCTGGAGCTCCTTCCCCAGGCTTTTCGAGGCTTGATCTCCCAAGTGCTTACGTGCATCGTGGTTGTTGCTGCCTTGTCTTGCAGATGTTTTATTTCTTCATGTAGAGCTCCAAGCAGCTCTAGGGAAGAGAAAGAAAAAAATAATAGAACTTTTATTATTTATTTTTTTTTCCTTTTCCTTCTCTTCCTGCACTGCATTTATTGCTCCCTGGCCAAGAAATGAATGCCCTGGCCTCAAGCAGCAATTTCCCATCATCTGGTGAAGCACATGTGGTGATTGCAGGCTGGGGGGAAGAGGTCAGGAGGACTGAGCCTTGAGCTGGGGCTCTGCTCCCATGAAAAGGGTTTTGTGCTACATCCAAGGGAGCAGTTGGTTTATCTCTTCTATGTTTGTTTTATGTTGGGTTTTTTTTCCTGGATGGTGTCATTGCTGGTGCTCTGGCTTCAGTTAGCTCTGCAGCTTCTATCTGCTCAGGAGGAGTGGTGAGAGCAAGAGCACCCCCAAAAAGCAGTGAAAAAGAGCTCAGTTTAGCAAAGGGAGCAAGGAACAGTGGAGATGGGTGGGGATGAGGTGGGAGGATGGTATTTCTGACCATGGTTCTCCAGCAGGAGAAGCAGTAAAGGGGGATGTGTGTGGTTGGGACTGTTGTTGGCATCGTGCTACAGAAGGACTAGTGTCCCGTGGGGAGCTCCAGCTGTAGGTAGGATGTACCCTGGAATTGTGGTTGGACTTCTTCTGGAAGTTATCCAGGAGCTTCCAAAAGGGGCTTGTGGCTTTTGCATCCCGGGATAGGGTGCGTAGGAGGCTCAGGACCTCACCCTGGTTTCTGGCTGGAGGAAGCAATCCCGGGATGCTGCAGATGGAGGCTGTGTACACAATGAGATGACACTGTGTATAAACAGAGGCTGAGATGATAAATAATAAGGGGGGGGGGGAAGAAAAAAACCCTCCAGTTGTTTTTTTTTAAAAGAGTACACATTCAGTTTTAAATCCATATTTAGGCATGGAAGCGAGCTGATTTTTTTTTGCACAAGATGCCAAACCTGTGGGACCTTGCACAGCCAGGGCTTATGTGCTGCAAGGGTCCACACGTGACAATCCCCTCTTTGAATTTTGGGAGGGTGTTTTGTACCAGGGTGGGATGATCCTGTCGTCCAGAGCATCATTTCAAAGCTGAGCCAAGCCACCAAATTCCTAACTGGTAAAGTAGCATTAGGCAGAAATCTCCCTTGGTGGACAGACACAGCAGCAAAGACATCCTGTCTTTCTATGTTGGCTTTAGCAGCGTGTGATTGACCTTGCTGGTTGTGACCTGATGGGTGAAGAGTTACCATCTTGTAGGCACCGTGTTTGGTGTTTGCTTTCCATGACTGACTGTTCCCTGTTGCTCTCTGTGGTGATTTGCAGCTGACACCAACTGTGCTGCAAAGTGTGGAGCCAGCAGTTTTGCAGCCCTGGCCTGCTTCAGATGGGTGATAAGCAGATAAGCAGAGCACAAAAGCCCTCAGGAGCTGTCATTCATGGGGAATGAAAGGAGAAACAGTCCCTGGAATGGTGCCCCAGGGCAAAAAGTGTGGCTTTGTCTTCCAGGATTTTCCCTGCAGCTTGCGGGACTGTAGGGTTGATTTCAGGAAGGAAAGGAGATGCTGGTTGAAATGGTTGGAGGTTGAGATTCCTCCAGGTATTGCTCTCAATAGGAATGGAGCAAGTGTGGCTGAAGGTGGTATTTTACTCCCCCAGATTCACTCTCTCTGGAGATTTAGATTGGATATTGAAAGAAATTCTTGGCTGTGAGGGTGGTGAGACCCTGGGAAGCTGTGGCTGCCCCATCCCTGGCAGTGTTGAAGGGCAGGTTGGATGGGGCTTGGAGCAACCTGGGCTGGTGGGAGGTGTCCCTGCCCATGGCAGGGGGGATTAAATGATCTTTAAGGTCCCTTCCAACCCAAACCATTCCATGATTCTGTGTCCTGCTTAGCAGCTTGCTCAAGTGTGCAGGACTCAGCCACGTGCCTGGTAATGAGCCTGGAGTCCAAAGCCTCAGTAATTATCCTGCTTAATTCCCTGTTCCCCCGTTATACCAGTGACCTTGCAGATGGAGAGGTCCCCAAACCAATGACCAGACCCCAGTGCCACGCAGTGATCTGGTGCCATCCAGGGTGGATGTGTTCTTCTCCTCACTCCCCCACCCTCCCTGGGGGAAATCTCTGGATGAAAGAGGAGCAGGGGCTGGTGATGGTGCCAACGTTCACCCAGCCCAGCTTTTTGGGACTTTTTTTGTTATGAGTTGTGTAGGAAAGAGAAGGACCTCCTGTGCACACAGCTAGATGTCCCCCCCCCTCGGTGCTCTTTGCTTCTCTGGCTGAGTGGAGCAGCTGGATGAATTTTTCCATGTTTCAGCTGCCTTGGATGTATCAGAATTGCCTGAATTCCTGTGGGAGTTGGAGATCTTTTCCCCAGCAGTGATGGAGGAGGCACTTACCTGGGGTGCTGGGGGTGGTCCCCTCTTAACAAGGCTGTTACCAAACCAGTTCATCTCTCCCACAACCTGGGGAGATGCAATGATCTTTAAGGTCCCTTCCAACCCAAACCATTCCATGATTCTGTGTCCTGCTTAGCAGCTTGCTCAAGTGTGCAGGACTCAGCCACGTGCCTGGTAATGAGCCTGGAGTCCAAAGCCTCAGTAATTATCCTGCTTAATTCCCTGTTCCCCCGTTATACCAGTGACCTTGCAGATGGAGAGGTCCCCAAACCAATGACCAGACCCCAGTGCCACGCAGTGATCTGGTGCCATCCAGGGTGGATGTGTTCTTCTCCTCACTCCCCCACCCTCCCTGGGGGAAATCTCTGGATGAAAGAGGAGCAGGGGCTGGTGATGGTGCCAACGTTCACCCAGCCCAGCTTTTTGGGACTTTTTTTGTTATGAGTTGTGTAGGAAAGAGAAGGACCTCCTGTGCACACAGCTAGATGTCCCCCCCCCTCGGTGCTCTTTGCTTCTCTGGCTGAGTGGAGCAGCTGGATGAATTTTTCCATGTTTCAGCTGCCTTGGATGTATCAGAATTGCCTGAATTCCTGTGGGAGTTGGAGATCTTTTCCCCAGCAGTGATGGAGGAGGCACTTACCTGGGGTGCTGGGGGTGGTCCCCTCTTAACAAGGCTGTTACCAAACCAGTTCATCTCTCCCACAACCTGGGGAGATGCAGGAAAAGAGACTTTGCCCTCTGGCAGGAAGTGAGTTTGGTGATTTTCTTAAAAGAAAGTCTATTTTCCCTTCTCTCTGGTGGAGTTGTCTTCAAAGGGCTGTTTTCTAGTTTGGGAAGTGTCTTCTCCAAGAGGTGCAGACAGCATCTCATGTTAGAACTGTCAGTAGGGACAGTCCCAGGTTTCATTTGATTTATTAAGCTGAATAAAATATGGCCTTCCAGTATCTTAAGGGGGTCTACAAGAAAGCTGGTGAGGGGCTTTTTAGGAGGTGGGGTAGTGGTAGGACTAGGAGGAATGGATCAAAACTAGAGGTGAGTATGTTCAGATTAGATGTTAGGAAGAAGTTTGTCACCATGAGAGTGGTGAGACCCTGGCCCAGGTTGCCCAGGAAAGCTGTGGAAGCTTCAGTGCCTGAAGGGGCTCCAGGAAAGCTGGGGAGGGGCTTGGGACAAGGGCAGGGAGGGAGATATGGATCAAAACTGGAGGAGAGGAGGTTGAGGTGAGACATGAGGAGGAAATTCTTCACTGTGAGGGTGGTGAGACCCTGGCCCAGGTCGCCCAGGGAAGCTGTGGCTGCCCCATCCCTGGCAGTGTTGAAGGGCAGGTTGGATGGGGCTTGGAGCAGCCTGGGCTGGTGGGAGGTGTCCCTGCCCATGCAGGGGGGTTGGAACTAGGTGATCTTTAAGGTCCCTTCCAACCCAAACCAGTTTATGGTTCTAAAACTGTGGGGTGGGAAGCAGGTGGGATCCTGTGAGGTCCTGAGGTCCCTCACCCCTCAGCCAAGGCTGGAACCTTCAGCCCAGTCACTTCCCCCCTTCAGGAGAAAAGCCACGGGCAGGAAAGCCTGGGCTGCTTTATTTCTTGAGCCACCTCTAATTAATCACGAGCTGCAGAGCAGTGCAAACCCAAGCAGGTTTGTGGCTCAGGACCAGCCTCTTTCATGCTTTAATCCAGCCTTGCCCTGGTGCAGTTTTTCCCCTGACTCAGCAAGCCCCGGCTCTCGCCGTAAACCCATCGAGCGGCTTTGGGGCGTCTGGTCCTGTGGGAAAAGCCTCGTGGTTGGGATGTCCCAGCAGACCTGGGGCTGGGCTGAAGGAGGATGCAGGCTGGAAGCTCGTTAGCTGGTGGGGAATCGTCAGGGTAATTAGTGCTTCTGAATCCAAGAGTGTTTGTGAGTCCTGTTGTCCAACGCCCGCTGCTCTGCTACTCTCTTTTGTGTTAAGGAATGGATGCCCACCTTCTCTTAGCATCTAAGGGTGGTGAGACACTGGCCCAGGATGCCCAGGGACCCTGTGGCTGCCCTACCTAGTGGGAGATGTCCCTGCTCATGCAGGGAGTTTGGAGTTAGATGATCTTTCAGGTCCCTTCCAACCCAAACCAGTCTGTCATTCTATGTTAGTGATAAGGAGCAGAGGCTTGGTCCATCATCGTGGACTTGCCCAGCCATCAGTAGATGTGACCTGTGGGTTGATTCCCTGGTTTGATCTCTGCCTCATCACTGCCACCTTGCCTGGTGCTCCAGATTCTTGGTTGAACCTGTCTGTGAGCTTCATTTCCTTTGGCTAGGGGTGGTGGAGAGGTCCTTCCCTGGGGATCTGACATCTCCTGCAGGAAGGACCTGAGATACGTGTGTCAGCCAAGTTAATCCTGGCACAACTGCCCATGCTTAGATTCCCCAGGAAGGAGATGAAACAAAACCAGCCAAAAACCTGCTTTCCAGAGAAGTTCAGCAGCTAATAAAACGCAAGTGGAGCAGGAAATTTGATGAAGTCTAACAGAGCCAGGTTGGCTGGTGCCACGATGAACGTGAATACGAAGGGATCCAATGACCCAGGCAGGTTTGGAAGAGCCCCAGCTTGGCCTGGCTGTGTACAGAGCCCAGCTCACATCTCTGTACCACTCTGTGCAATTTATATATAGATTTGATTTTATTTCATTTGAGAAGAGCAATTCCAATCCCCTAGCCTTGATGAGGACACCAGTGGGTACCTGCTGCTGAAGGCTTTGCCATAAGAGCAGATCCATATGTTCTGCCTGTGCTTTCCAGGCAATAACAGGAGGAAGGAGCTATGGAAAATCCTGGGGTTGATGGGGGGGGTTTGACCATATGATGGGAGCCAAATCCTGGCCATCCTTTTCCTTGCCCAGTTGGCCAGAGTTGCAGGGTACCAGTGCTCAGGCTGATGTCAAGGGGGATTTGGTGGGAGCTCGTTGTTAATTAGGAGCAGGTCAGTAGCCAGGACAACACATCCAGGGCTGTTTGCCATCTTCTCCTCCTTTGGGAGGTGGAGTTCTAAGGCTTTCCAGCTTCTCCTCCAAAGGGATTCCCCTGCCTTAATTCCCAAGAACTTCACAGGCCAAAGACCACGGGGGTTTTTTTTCCATCCTTCTCACTGTGACATCACCTTAGTGTTGTTGAAACTGCTGGTTTTCTTCCCGGCCCTGGTGGGGTGAGGATTGGGCTGGGGAGGCAGGATGGGGAGCCCCTGTCTCCCCTGATGCTCCAGGTTGGGCAGACAAACTCATCACTGGTGAGAAGGAGTTTCCTGCCCATATAAAGAGGTAACTTGAATCGTGGCCAGGTTGGGTTTTATTGTTGTGGGGTTTTTTTTGGAATGGTTGGTTTTTTCCCCTCTTCTTTTCTATTTTTTCTCCATCTACAGAAGAAATTGAGGGTGATGATGGATATGGAACCATCTCAATATCATGCATGGAGTAGCAACAAGCCCCCTGCTTGATTTGGGATGCTCTTTCCCCTGGCATGTTCTCCATCAGCCTTTCACGACCGTGTATCTACCCGTGTGTGTGGACACCAAAACACCCGTGTTTTTTTTTTTCTCCTTCCCCATCTTTATGTCTTTGTGGGAGTCCAGGCTGGCCTGATTCGGACAGACAGCAACGAGTTCTTCATCGAGCCCCTGGAGAGGGGGCAGCAGGAGACAGAGGAGCACGGGAGGGCCCACGTGGTGTATCGCCGCTCGGCCATCCGGCAGGACGCTGCCCAACCCCACCAAGACCTTCACCCCCAAGGTAGGGTCTCCTCAAATCCAGCCTTTCCTAACAAATAAGAGCTGTGTCTTGTCTGGGGGGAGGATTTCTCCCTTCCACCTGCCCTCCTGGCTTGTACCACCTCGCCCCCTCTGCCTGGTGGGTGATGAGACAGTGGAAGAAACCACTTTTGGTGGGAACTCTGAAATCTTTCCAGATTTGGTTAAAACGAGGTGAGTTATGTATCTCAGAATCACAGAATTGTCAGAGTCTAGAGGGGACCTTTAGAGATCATCCAATCCAACCACGCTGCTAAAGCAGAGTCACTCAGAGCACATCACACAGGATTGCATCCAGGTGGGTTTTGAATGTCTCCAGAGAAGGAGACTCCACGAACTTTCTGGGTTATTCTTCCTCTTCTTCTTCAGAGGAATCTGCTTTTGCCAAGAAAGGTTGGAGCAGATGATCCTTGAGGTCCCTTCCAACTGTCTGCTCTGTGATTCTCTCAGTCCCTGAGATGGGTGTGATCAGCCCATGGATGATCACCGTGGCCTTGGGGATGGGAAGTGGAGTTGGGATTCAGGAGCAGAAGGGTCAGGAGGAGCCAGACTTGGTCCAGCTTGGCTGCTGGCTGTGGCGTGGAGGTGTAGGTGCTGTTTTAGTCACCTCTGTTGTGACATGTGACACTGATTTGACTTTTTAACAGATGATGGAAGTCCTTCCTTGTCCCAGTGTTCGTCATTCATTCCCCTTTTTGTAGTGCTGTGAAGGGTAAGGGTGGAGGGTGGGGGATGCTCTGAAGGATGGAGGGTGCTCTGAAGGGTGGAGGGTGCTCAGACTGCAGCTCTCTGCTCTCCAGAAGCAGCCCCCAACATCCCCCATGTCCTCCCCAGCTTCCCACCACCTCCCCATGCGTCCCACCACCACCCCCACAGCCAGTGCAGGACCCTTGTCACCTAGATGTGTCTTTTTCCCTGCTCGCTTTCCTGTTGTCTTGGGAGTGTCACCGAGGGGTCAGGTCACCTCAAATGGCTGTTTCTTTTCCTGCCCAGTGCCTGGGGTGCAGGTGGGTGACCTCCCCAACTCCCTGGAGGTGATGACGGGGCGACTTGGGGGGGACGCCGAGCGCAAGAGGCGTCACACCAGGAAGGATGACTACAACATTGAGGTCTTGCTGGCAGTGGATGACTCGGTGGTACGATTCCATGGGAAGGAGCACGTCCAGAACTATGTCCTCACCCTCATGAACATAGTAAGGCTTGGCTCAGGGAGGGCTGTGGCTCCTACCCCTCCCTGGTTTTACTCCTCTTCTGGTGCTGCGAATCCCTCATCCTGGGGAAAAAATAGTGGGTTTGAGGAGGGAAAAGTGTTGCAGGAAGGGCTGTTTCTCCACTGGGACAGCTGGCTCTGGTATTTCATAGCTGTGATCATCAGAGTGATGGAGAGCAGAGCCCTTTTAACATTAATCTCTGTGACATTTCCTGCCCAATGTCACTTTCTGTCACCCGAGTCCAAGCGCATCTTCTGCTTCTGGCCAAGGCCACCTCCTCCTCGTGGCTGCAATCTCAGTGAGCTCTAGGATGGTGGTTGTTGATTTTGTTTGAAATTATGATACTAGCTGTTTATTTTGTAGCAGATGGTTATTATTTATTTTGAGGAACATCTGTTGATAGAGGGAAGAAGACTTGGGTAGCTTTTCAGAAGTTCTTTTACATTCCTTGGAAAACCCTTGGCACGGGGCAACCTGCTCTGATTCCCTGCTCTGCTTCTCTTGCCTTTGGAAGAGAAAAACCTCCATATTCCCCAAGTCTGGAGAGATGTGGAAGGATCAATATTTATTCAACTATCCATCTTGCAGGGGGTTTGCTCTGGCAGCACCTGGATGGCTGCAAACAGGGTCCACCTCCAAAGATCTCTTTTCGTGCCCTCTGCTGATTTTTGTTTGCTTTTCCAGCCTTTATCCTCTCCTCTATTTATTTGTTTTTTTTCAAGTCCTTTTTTTTTTTTTTTTTTTTTTTGCTTAGTGATGGGAAGTGTTTGAAAGGCACCACCAGCTTAGGAATAACCCTGCTCTAAAGATGCTCTTGCTTTTTGGTGACTTGTTTGGGTGTTATTCCTGGCCTGGCAGGTGGGCTCACAGCTGGTAACAGGGGGGAAATGATCACCCTGAGGGGTGAGGATTTGTGGGGTCAGAGGCCAACATGGCCAGCCCCGAGTAAGGTTTTAAAAAGCAAATGGCTTCATATTTTATTTTATTTGATTGAATTCCACTTTGCATCATCCTGATGCCCATGGTGGGAACCCCAGGGTTCCCCATTCCAACCCAGAGCTCTTCCCACCTTACGGGACTGGCAGATGATGTAATTTTTTAAATATGTCTTTTTCTTTCTGATTCTTAGGAAGATGGTTTGGAGGGCCTGGTCAACTCTGATCAAAAAGGTGGTTTTCAGGAACATTTCATGATTTCTACCCCCACGGGCAGGGCTTTGAGGGGATGCTGGGCTGGGAGAAGGCAGCACCCTTGGCTGTTCAAATCCAGGCGGAGACTTGAATGAATTAAATCCATAGAGTGGTGGTGGGGAAAGAAAGCAGCATCAATAAACCTCAGGGATAATGCACACAGCAAATACTTCTCCCAAGTATTATTTCCTTCTAGGCAATTCTTCCCCCACGCCCTTTCCCCTTCTTTCTGTCTGGGTTTTGGTGCCTTTGCTTTCTAGCTTTGCTGTGACCTCCGTCTTCCCTCGGCACCGCCTCGTTTCCTTCCTGGCTCAGGCTGCCTTCAAATACCTG